TTACCTTCAGGTCCCAGAGTTAACAACAGCTCTAAATTATTTTTTATTCATCTCTTTAAAACTAGCTTTTACCACATATGTTATTTATTCCTGAGCAGAAACGTGTTTAATTTTGTCATAGAGCTTATAAAAATATTATTATTGAAAAAATCTCTCATAATTTGATTTTTCTAATTATTATTATATGCCTAAGATGCATCTTTGTTGCATGCAACTGCAGTATATTTACCTTCAATCCTGTATAAATTTCATAATTTATTTACCCATTCTCCTGTCATTGGGTGTTACATTCCATTTTCTGTTGTTATAACAAAATACTTGAGACTGGGTAATTTATGAGGAAAATGTTTATTTAGCTCATGGTTCTAAAGACTGAAATGTTCACTGCATCTGCTTGGCTTCTGGTAAATGTCACACACTGCTTTACCTTACAGCAGAAAGGCAGAAGAGTGAGAGGCATGCACACGCAAACAGAGGAGACAAATGAGACCAATCTCCTTATTGACAACTCTTATTTTGTTTTCTTTTGGGTTTTGCCATAGGGTATGTGTGCTTGCCAGAGAGAGACAGAGAGAGAGAGAGAGAGAAAGGGAGAAGAAGGAGGGAAAAAGAGAAGAGAGAGGGAAAGTGAGAAACCATCCCCATGGGGGGTGGCCACACTATAATTCCCTCTTCTCTACAGTCCTCTCAGGATTTTGGCCATGCACACACATGTGTGCAATGTAATTTTCAAGGTACTGGGTGCAGACTTGAACCATGACTGGCCATGTGAGAATTTAGCACTTTAATTACCATGCCACCTGCTGGCTCCATCAGCCCTCTCTTGTAGGAAACTACAAGTCTTTTAGCATTAATTTTGCATATGGATCTCATGACAAAGATGCCTCCCATTAGTCCCAACTTCTTGAAGATCTCACCACCAACATGGCTACATTGGGACCAAGCTCAGTTAGTTCTGTTGGAGACAAACCATATTCAAACCATGACATTAGACATAGGTTTTTCTATAATTTTTTTCAGTTCACACGATGGTGCTGTGAACATTTTTATATTTTCTCCTTATATTCAAATATAAGATTGGAATTATAAGATTTATTAAGTATGTTTATCTTAAGTTATGAAATAATGCCATATTGGTTTCCAAAATATTTGTACTAATTTGTACTACTCTTTGCAATGGTTCCCATTGTGTCACATCCTCATCAATATTTGCTAGTGTTAGATATCTTACCTTTGCTAAGTCCATGGTTATCATATAAAATGATTTTCTGGTTTTAATTAAAATTTCTTTATTACTTTTGAGGTCAAACATTTTTTGGGGTGGACTAGTAGAAGGCACAATGGTTAAGGTGCTGGACTCCCACTCGACCATGCTTTGAGTCCTGGACCTGGCAACTTGAAAATCACACTGGGTGCATGTGCATACATACCCAAAATCCCAGGAAGAGAATGGAAGAGAAGGGATTATGGTGTAGCCATCCCCCCTTGGAGGTGATTTCTCACTTTCCTTCTTACTGTCTCTCTATTTCTTTTGGGGAAGCACAAATTCTCTATGGAAAAAAACCTTAAAATATTTTTCATCTATGTATTTAGTGTTTATTTTTTATTTATTTTCTATAAACATATCTTCTTATGCCGATTCCTATTGCTAACCAGGAATTCTTGATATAGTAGGATATCACTTTTTCAAAATCATGTAAAACAAACAACTGCAACACAGAAGGTGAGTTGATGATTGAAGTCTAATCTTTGATTGGATTACATTTTATAAAAATAACTTGTGCTTTTTTCCACATAAGCATGCCTCTTCTACCATTATCCTTGCACATTATTCAAGTCATTTTATGCACTTTGTTTAAAAAGAGATATAGCGGAAGGTGACAAGGGTAATAAAGATCTTCCTCTGGTTTTAAGATATCACAGGCAAAATGTTTGGGAGAAACCACATGAGGAATGACAAGGTTTTTCTTCAGATATAGTGAAACATAATAAGAATGGTCAGACATGTTTTCCATGTGTCCTGTGAAGGTGACTAGGTGCCAAAATAATGACTGCATACTGAGTTTGAGTTCAAGATGCCATGGAGGCATATGACCTTCCTTGGAATTCTTGTGCTCAACAGGGATTTAGTTTAGGAGAATAAAAATGAGTCTACCCCATGTTCAGGTAGGAGGGAGCATAGAAAGCATCATATATTTTCTTTCGATCCAGTATATATCAATAATCGTACCTATCCTTAGAGATTTATTTATGTATTTGAAGGAGCAGAGAGAAATGTGATTGAGTTGATGACGAGTGGGCTTGGACCCATCCATGGCTCTGTTGGTCAAGATGGGAAGAACACAAGCTTATAGCTGTTTCTCTCAAATAAAATCTGTGTACAATACAGAAACAAAGTATACTCTTGGAAATAACAACAAAAACAGCATAATACAAAAACAAACAAACAAAAATAACCACAAAGTAAGAACCGCCATAATACTAAGCCTATCTTTGGGTGGTAAGTGTGGGGTAGTTGTGAAGGCTGCATCCTGGGTCAGTGAGAAACTTGGAGCTTGGAAGAAAAACTAAAGATAACAGTGACTGAATGTTCCTCTTGCCTTTTACTCAAGTTGACTGCTATTTACTGAAGATATAGACTTAGGAGTTCCGAGGGAATGTGTCAGCACTGACATGTCTAAAGATAATAGTGACTGAATGTTCCTTTTGCCTTTTAACACAAGTTGACTGCTATTTACTGAAGATATAGACTTAGGAGTTCCGAGGGAATGTGTCAGCACTGACATGTCACAACTCAGCAAAATGCAGCCTAGGGTAGGTTTGAGGCATACAGATATGAACTCACTAGTGTACTCTTGTGTCCTGTTCCATGGAGAGAATATCTATAATCTCAATTTACTTCACTGTGGTTAAAAAATACTATAATTACAGTTGTAATACTATAAAGAAATTAAAGGAACACATGAAGGAAACAATGACATGATCTGTTCCATTCCTGAAGGACTATTGGTGAAGTTGTACTTAAGAACAGGATTTAAGATACTTAGGAATAAATCTAACCAAAGAAGTTAAAGGCCTCCACAAGGAAAACTGTGAGAAGCTAAAAAAGAAATTGAAAATGACACAAAAATGTGGACGACCATCCCATGTTCCTGAATTGGAAGAATAAATATAATCAAAATGGCAATTCTACCCAAATTAATCTACATATATAATGCAATGTCAATCAAACTACTAGACACATTCTTCACAGATCTAGAAAAGACAATCATAAAATTTGTCTGGAACCATGAAAGGCCTCGTACTGCCAAAGCAATTCTACACAAGAAGAGTGGAGTGGGTGACATCTCACTCCCTGACTCAAAAATATACTACAAAGCTGTGGTAATCAAAACCGCAAGGTACTGGCACAGAAACAGACATGCAGACCAATGGAACTGAACAGAGTCCCCAGAAATAAATTCCCATACAGTCAACTGATTTTTGACAAGGGGTCCCAGTCAATCCAGTGGGAAAAGGAAAACTTTTTCAGCAAATGGTGCTGGAAAAACTGGATTTCCACCTACAGAAAGATGAATCTGAACCCCTACCCCTTAAGTTGAGGTGGGTCAAAGATCTAAATCTAAGACCTCAAACTATAAAACTGCTCCTAGAAAACACTGGGGAAACTCTGGGAAATACTGGGGTAGAGAAAGACTTTTTACATAAGACCCTCAAAGCACAGTCAATAATCCCCAAAATAAACAAGTGGGATTACATCAGACTAAGAAATTTCTGCATGGCAAAAGACACAGTAATTAGTGTGAATCTACAGCCCTCAGAATGGGAAAATATTTTTGTAAATTATGCATCAGATAAGGGACTGATAACGAGAATACACAAGGAACTCAAGCAGCTGTTTGGAAAGATGATCAACCCTATTAAAAGATGAGAGAATGAGTTGAAAAAGACACTCTTTAAAGATGATATACAAATAGCCAACAAGCATATGAAAAAATGTTCAACATCTGTTATTGTAAGGGAAATGCAGATCAAAACAATGATGAGATACCATCTAACCCCAGTTAGAATGTCTAAAATTAAAAAAACAAAAAATTATAAGTGTTGGCGGGGTTGTGGTGAATGAGGAACAAGGTGAAGCAAGCCAAGCTATGAAGGAGAGACATTGTATGTCCCCACATAATATATACCAAGTGTCCACACTCTATGACTGAAACTGATTGACTAAAGGATATACAAACACAATAAATGGGTGTAAATACAGGATATAGTGTGTGTGGAAGCGTAGGGCCTAAGGAAGGACATTTAGAAGAAAAATATGGAGGAAAAGCATTAATGAGACAAAGAAATATGGTATTATCTGTTGAAGATATTTTATAGTTTAATCAACAGGACTAGGGAGAAATGTTCACATATTGAAATATTCACTTTGTAAGCTAAATAAGGTGATTGAATGTATAAAATAAATGAAATAAAAAAAAGAACAGGATTTAGCCTGACCCAAAAATAGATTAGAGCCAGTAAAGGAATGGGAGTAAGGAATTTCAGAAAAATCAAGTACCATACATGAAAACACCATACATGGGAAGGAGCAAGAATCTCAAAGATGAACTCTGAAGTATGATTATTAAGCGATAGGAAAAAGTGTGCAAGAAAACTGGAAAATAAGAGATGAATACTCATTTATATTTATTTTTCCTTCTTAGTCTATTCTCCCAAATGCTTCTTTACAATTGGACAAAACAAACAAACAAACAAACAAAACAACAAATCAAAATAACCATCTTGAGTTGAGTGATTTCATCAATAAATACCTTGGAAATAATAATAAAAATGTAAAATCTAGTAACATCTCCATTTAAACACTTAGTAAATGAATAAGAAATACAGTAAGATTAAAAATTGCTTTTAAGTGTGTGATTAGATAAGAACTTTCAAAAATCTGATCATTCCTGCAATTACGATTAAGGGAGACAGGAGTGGCAAAAGAAAGATGTTACCTTGTTTAGTGAGCTGTGGGGTGGGGTTTGTGGGGGCATTGGTGGAATCTGAGAATGGCTCACAGTTGGAGGTGTTCTTTTGTCTGAAGTTTGCAGAAGCTGATTCAGCTGCCAGGGGGACTTCATCCTTTTGTAGTTGTATGTTTGAATTGCATCTTTTATATTCTGAGGAAAAGATTGGATTTTCTGATTAGTGGTTTTCAGTACAAGATGAACCCTGATATTGTTATGTCTATATCTATTTATCTATCTATCTACTAGGTTGTCAGGGAAAATCTTGAGGTATTTTTCTGTTTTGTTTTGCAAAAACACGTCATGACTTTCCCAACAACCCAATGTATTCATATCTATTATCTTTCTAGTTGATTTTTTAAAGTTATTTTTAATACTATCATCCCTCTGCTATTCTGTGGAGGAACAGCATAAATTTAGATTATCTATCTTTTGCACCTGCATACTCTCAACCAACATCATAGACTTCATTCTGAAAACGTCAAAACACTGTTGATTGAAATCTCATTTGTATGTAATTAGATCCTGACTCTGTTTTGCTGAAGATGTGTCTAGGACAACTTGGTCTCGTACCTCTGTTTAGGTTACTTTTGTTAAATAACCCTCCCAGATTAGAATGGTAGCAATATTCATAACAACATTATCTGAATCTATGAGTCTTTATCAGGAAGCCATTCTTATCAAGCAATTACACAATGGACTCCTGTTTTTAGCTCTTGGTATTCCAGGAAACTGTGGGGATTTTTTTTTTTTTTTGAGAGTTTTTTTTTTTTTTCTATAGGACACATGCACTCGCTAGACAGACAGAGAAAGACATAGAGACAGAAAGCAAGAAATCACTCCCCAGAGGGGATGGCCACGCCGCAATCCCTTCTCCTCCATTCTCCTCTTGGGATCTTGGGCATGCACTCACATGCGCTTGGCATGAGTTTTAAGCCACCGGGTCCGGGACACGAATTGCTGTAGACTACATGGAAGTCCAGTGACATAGCCATTACACTAACTGCTGGTCCCTGGGTTTTTTGTTTGTTTTTGTTTTTGTCAACTTAGCATACTGTACTTTGCTTCACTGGAAGGATTCCCTCAGAGCTCCAGTTCCAGAGCAGAATTAGCCTTGCCCTGTGGTTTGCATCAGACATCCAGAATCTCCAGAATGATCAACAGTGATCAGAACCACTTTAGATTCCTAGGGCATTTATTGTACTTTTAAAAGAAATTTTGTAAGAGAATGTAAAATCAATATGACTATAATTTGACTGTAATTTCACTAACAAAAGTCCTTAATAACATTTTTACATATAATATCTATTTTCCCTTGTTTATTTCCACTTCCAACATTTTTTTTTTGTAGAGGTTTTTGCTATAAGGTGCGTGCACTCAGCAGAAAGACAGAGAGAGACAGAGAAATCACCCCCCCAGAGGAGATGGCCATGCCACAGTGCCTTCTCCTTTCTCCTCTTGGGATCCTGGGCATGCATGCACACATGCCTGGCATGAGTTTAAGCCACCGGATCTGGAACTCGAACTGCAGTTGACTACATGGGAGTCCAGAGACATAGCCATTATGCTAACTGTTGGTCCCAACATTTTATTTTTTGAGAGTTTATTTCTTTAGGGCATGTGTGGTAACTAGAAAGATACAGAGAGACAAAGAGACAGAAAGTGAGAAATCACTCCCTCCCCTCCCCCCTGGGATGAAGGCCATGCCACAATCCCTTCTCCTCCACCCTCCTCTCGGGATCTTGGGCATGCACACACATGCACCTGGCATGCGTTTGAGCCACCAGGTCCGGGACTCAAACCACAATAGACTACATGGAGTCCAGTGACATAGCCATTACACCACTTGCTGGTCCCCCAACACTTTTAATAATACAATTCTGTTATCCTTAAAGAGGTGAAAGAAAGGGGCTAAAAGATCCTTATTGACTATGACTTCCTGATTAGAACACTCCATTCACCTCATGCACCTTATTCTTTATTCCTTATTCCTCTTCAGAAGGTTTGGAGAACTTCAGTAACAAAAACAAATTGAAAACCCAACACTATGTATTGAAAATAGTTATGAATATATGATAGACTCTTTAATATCTTCTTGCTCACACCTAAAGAAATGTTCTCCTCAAACTATCAAAATTTTTATTTGAATAAAACTTAATATAGAACCTATCTCTATGAGTTTGAGAACTATAATGGCTTCTGTGATAATATCTACGTTCTTGGTTTTTGAACAAATAATTGAGCAAAACACACCAATGGTGAAAGGAAAAGGTAGTTTAGTAAGTAAAAGTGAAAGGATACTCCTGAGAGGTTGGAGAAAGAGTGACTCAAAAGGGCCCAGAAGTTGCATTTTGTGAGGTTTATAATTTTTTAACCTAGATCACGTTTGTCGATCATTGGTTGGGTCCAATGATTGTTTTCATCTCATTGGCTCTATCAAATGTGGCTGGGCCCACTGGGTTCTCATAGGCTATTTCATATGGGGCTGGGCCCATTGATTCATCTCATTGTCTCTATCAAATGTGGCTTAGTCATTTAGACACCCCCAACAGTCTCTTGCCTACACTATCTTGCTTGGGGAATTTTCTGTCCTGATTAGGTTTTTCTATTTAGCCACATGGGCAGATGCACCAGCCCCCTTGCTAGCTTTCTCCTTCCTCAATAACTACTTTATGCTTTATGTGACTTGTAGGAAATTCCTTACAGAGGCAATACTGGAAGACTTAAAAACAGGTCCTCCACTTCCTTCTACCATACGTGGCAGTCTATACCCTTTGACAGAACTGTCTTGAGCGACTATCTTTTCAAAACAAGTTAAAGCCAATGTTTTCATCACAACAGAATTTGGTTGCCTAAGAGCTTAACTTTGGTTGGATAATATTTTTAGACAGTAGCTGATCTTTTCTCTCTTTTTTTCCCATGACTTCCATCTTTGATCATGATTCATGCCTCTCTGTGATCTGCACTTTAGAGTCACTCCAGAAAGCCATGCTTCTGTCTTCTTTGGGTATTGGGTCCAAAAGCATCATGAAACCATCCCATAGATAAAATTTGGGGAGAATCCATGATAGCAAGGACAAGATTTTCTGCTCAACTAGTGAATCACAGAATGAGTGGTGAGATAGCACTTGGGTGGAGCACCAAAGAAGGATGGTGCATGGTGTGGTTAAGTGTAGGCGGCCATGGAGGCACACGACTTTCTAGAATTCCTGTGTTCTGGGGGGTTGGCACAGCAGAGTAATTCCTATGGCTGTGGAAATGGCTGCATCACATATTTACGCAACTGGGACCTTAGAAAGTGCAGGGGCCAGCAGATGGCATAATAGTTACATTGCTGGACTCCCACATAGGCCATCACGGTTTGAGTTCCGGATCCAGTAGCAAAAAATTCACACATAGAGCTTGTGCCTGCGAGCCCAAAATCCCAAGGGGAGAATGGAGGAAAAGGCACTGTGGCATGTCCATCTCCTCTGGGGGGTGATTTCCTGCTTTCTGTCTCTGTTTCTTGGATGAGTGCACACATCCTATAACAAGAGAAAAGGGAAAAAAAAAGAAGAAAAGAAAAGAAAAGAAAAGAAAAAAGAAAAGAAAAGAGATGAGAAAATTCATCAGAAAACTGATTGTCCTGAGATATCCAACTTTGTCTTTGAAGTAACAGAGGAAAAAAAAATGAATCTGAGCTAGGAATGATGAGAAATGAGCTTCATCTATCCCAAAGCAAGCTGATAGCTCCTCTACCAAAAACATTTAGGAAGTATATAGAGAAATATGAATCATGGGAATTAACTAGTCAATAAGAACAAAAACAGCAATAACACAAAACAAAAAATCAAAAATTCGTTCTTTAGGAGCCTGGCTTACAACTGGCAAACACAGATTAGTGGTGCAGGGGGTGGTGTGGTCAGAGTGCAGCTTGCTGCTTAGATGAGAAGCTAGTTAGAGAACAGTGATTTAACTATCCTTTTCCATCCTTTGGTTGTCCACCTATTTGCTGCAGGTATGAACGTCTCACTCTTGAGTGCAAATGATCACGTGGACCTTAACATGTTAGCATAAAAGACAGGAGAAGGTAGTTATTTATATAGGTGGTTGTAAATTTACTTTTTAACCCTTGTTGTACATTCTCCTGACAATTCCATCATCTTGGGGTGTAAAGAAATAAAATGAAAAACGGACATAAAGTACACATGCCTTACATTTAGTTCATTTGCTATCTTTATGAACTTGGGGAATATTTTAAAGTTGATTTACCTCAGTTTTCCTTAATGTGAAATGGGGTGAAGAATATCATCCCCATTGACTGTTATGAACAAAAGAGATAATGCATGGAAAGATCACAGCTTTAGGACAAGCACCTCCTATTGCCAATAAATGTAGAAATATTATTGTTGGGACCAGCAGATGGTGTAATGGTTACATTGCCAGGCTCCCATGTTGTCAACCAGGGTTCGAGTTCCTGACCCGGTGGCTTAAAAAACTCATGCCAGGTGTGTGCACATGCATGCCCAAGATCCTGAAAAAAGAATGGAGAAGGGATTGTAGTGTGGCCATCTCCTCTGTGAAGTGATTTCTCGCATTCTGTCTCTCTGTTTCTCTGGTGAGTGCACATGCCCTACAGCAAAAATCTATTAAAAAAAGAGATATATTGTGATTGTTACTACATTGTCTCTGTAGCACTTTGTATGACTGCTCTGATTCATTGACGTCTCTTACTTTCTATTTATCTTGTTATTGAAAATCCTTGATAGAGGTGGTTTGGGAAGCATTTTATTGAAGAAACTTCTGTTTACTTCTGTATCTTATTGACAGAATTGCTTTGAAATTATTTACTCAAAATCAGATAAATAAAGAATCCCCTCACAAGAGAATTGGGATAAGAAACATCTAGTAGTTGCCTAGACAATATTAATATTTTGAACCATTCATAATTTTACTTTAGAGTAATTTCTGTCCTGTCATCCCTGCTTTTTTTGTTTCTTTTGGAGAGGTTTTTGCTATAGGGTGCGTGTGCTTGCCAGACAGACAGAGAGACAGAAAGCAAGAAATCACCCCCCAAGGGGGATGGCCACGCTGCAATCCCTTCTCCTTCATTCTCCTCTCAGGATCTTGGGCATGTAAGCCCATGTGCCTGGCGTGAGGTTAAGCCACCGGATCTGGGACTCGAACCACGGTCGACTATGTGGGAGTCCAGCGACATAGCCATTACGCTAACTGCTGGCCCCTCATCCCTGCTTTTGATTCATGCCAATTTGTGGCGAGTAGTTCTTTTTTTTTTTTTTTTTTAGAGGTTTTTGCTATAGGGGACGTGTGCTTGCCAGAAAGACAGACAGACAAAGCTAGAAATCATCCCCCTGGGGGGATGGCCATACAACAATCCCTTCTTCTCCATTCTCCTTTCAGGATCTTGGGCACACATGCACACATGCCCAGGATGAGTTTAAGCCACTGGGTGTAGGACTTGGACCACAGTCGACTACATGGGAGTCCAGTGACATAGCCATTACATCAACTGCTGGTCCCTGTAGTCGGTAGTTCTATCCCTTAAATGAAATCTTTATAAGCTAAAGAAGAAAATATGATTTATTGACTCTAACAAACTGAAAACAATAACAATAACAAAAATTCCCCAAAACAAAATTGCAACCCCTGGCACATAGGAAGTCTGTCTTGCACGGTGCCTATTGGTGGTGGAGTGGTATGCCACTGGGTCAGAATGTAGCTTGGGGCTGGGGCAAGAAACAATTACAAAAAATATTATTTTAATTCTCTTGGTTTTCCTTTAAATTGTGCTCTCTTTCACATAGGTGCAGGCTTCTGAGCTCTGAGTGTAGGTGACTTCAGACATCATATCATAGAAGAACAGAGGTGATCTGGGATAAGAGTTAATGCACGCAGCGGGAACTGGCTTTTGCTCCCCTTGTGTTCTGTTCCCCTGGGGTAGAGTACCTGTAATCTGAGTTTATGATCTAGAAAGGAAGAAAATCACTCTCTAGTCTAGTTATTTAACTGCTATCATGAAAATGAAAGGGAGCTAGAAAAGCACATCAATAAGAACTCTGGACATCTGTGTGTTGTGCAGACGTGCATGTGCCCAAAATCTCAAGAGGAAAATGCAGAAAGGATTTCAGCATGCCCTACCCCTTGGGGTGTGATTTTTCACTTTCCCTCTGTCTCCCTCTATCTCTCTCTAGTTCTTCAGTAAATGCACATGCTCTATGGCAAAACCTTAAAAAAATAAAAAAAAAAGAGCAATGAGGGATCTGATCTGGCCTAAAACGGGATGTCAGGCAAGGATGTGCCCTGGGAAATCCTCCTGTAGGGCCTGGGATTGTGAAGAGACTGGATACATGACCTTGTAAATGAGGTAGCTGATGTCAGAACTACTGAGTTCATATTTCTCTTCCTGTATCATGTGTATTTTCTCCAGGTTTGTCCATGTTTTTTCAGATGACAGACATTCTTTCTTTGGAATGGCTGTGTACTTCTCCTGTGTATACCTCCTTTGCTTTATCAATGTATCTATTGACGAGCACGTAGGTTGCTTTCCTATCTTAGCCGTGGTGAACAGTGCTGTAATACACATGGACATGCAGACAGCTTTTGGACATGCTGGTTTTCTCTCTTTTGGATACAAGCACAGTAGTGGGTATGCTGATACCAAACTAGAGAGGAGTAAGTGCTAGTGTTCTACGCCATAGGGTGAGGTGACGTTTAGTGTACTGTGTATTTTGAAATACCTAAAAGAATGAATTTTGAAGATTCCCTGCACAAAATAACAATAAATGTTTGAAATGATGGGTATGTTCATCCCCCTGATTTAACCATAAAAAGTTGTATTCATGTATCAAAAAAATTACACTATACCCTATAATAAAATCTTAGCATAGTAATAGTGATATTTATTATACTAATAAAATGTCATAAAATATATTATTTAGTTATATACAATTACGTATGATAATATTATTACATATTATTTAGTGGGATAGTAGCATAAATTGAATTCCATAATCCTCTGTCCTGTATGTGCCGAAATGAGCAGTACGAACTTCATTCTGAAAATTTAAAAGATTACAGATTTGGGGAAACATCATGATTTTTCTTCTTCTTCTTTTTTTTTTTTTTTTAGAGATTTTTGCTCTAGGGCACATATGCTCACCGGGACACAGAAAGATAGAAATCATTCCCCAGAGGGGTGGCCACACTACAATCCCTTCTCCCCCATTCTCCTCTCATGATTTAGGGCATGTAGGCACATGCACCTAGTAGGAGTTTTAAGCTGCTGGGTCTGGATCTTGAACTGCAGTCAACTATGTGAGAGTCCACCGACATAACCATTATGCCATCTGCTGGTCCCACATCATGATTCTTTAAAATAAAACCTGAAGTATTGTCAGTGAACAAGACCAAAGGGAGAGCTAAAACTGGAACAATGACCACAAACACACTCGGATTCATCGTTCTTTTCTGCTACTTCCCCACATGCTCTCTCTCAATAAACGTGGCCAAAATAAGACAGTCATCCACTCGAGGTGAAGAATAATTTCATGAACATATAGAGCTGGTAAATAGACGAGATAGAATCTTACAGGAGCTCAGTGCAAATACTTGACAAATGGTGAGAAATTTCATTAAATACAGGAATATTATTTAGCAGAAACTCAACTGGGTGGTCTTTGAAGATCAGTCACCCTTGTAATTATGATGTAGTGATGCACAAACAATGGGAAGAGAGAGGTGGTACCTGGCTCAAGAAAGGGCTGAGTGGGGTTTGTGAAGGCACCCGAGGAGTGTGAAGATGGGACTCAGATGGACGTGCTGGGGTTGCTGCCGTCTGTGGAGCTGGATTCTGCTCCCGTGGTGGATTCAGCCTTTCCACATCATAAATGGAGGTGGTTCTTATACCTGTCTGAAAATAGGTGATTTCCTCCTGGTTAATGGGTTTCGATACACGTTGAAGAATGATATATAATTTCCTGTTTTTTGGTTATCCTTTTTGAACAGTCCCCTCCCTCTGCCAGTTTTCTCTGCAATAGTGCCATACTTGTGGATCCCCTCCTCCCTCTCCTGCATACACAGAAACCAGCAGTGTGGGCTTCACTCTGAAAAGCCAAAGCCCAGATGACTGAAATGTCATTGGTTTGGATGGATTAGTGACTCCACCTGTACTAAAAGTGGGTTTCTGCTAACTGAATTTGGCACAAGTCCTTGGGTCATGTTCTGGTAGAGAGCCCTACCAGACTGTAAGAAAAGACATCTTACAAAAAACTGGTCACTGCAATCAGTGTTATTAACAAGGTGCTTCTCATCATAAAAATAATAAAGTGGGTTTCTATGTAACAACTTAAACTGTACTCTGTAAACTGTATATTATTATTATGTATCAACTAATTTAAACAATACTGATTTGAGAATCAGTGTAAGACTTTCAAAATTAAACCTAAAGAATGGTCAGTGAACAAGATGGAAAGACACAGGAATACAGTTGTTGAAAATACTCCTGTACTCATCTTCCCTCATCTACTTTTCCACACACTCTCTCCACCACCCACCCAGAAAAACACAGCGATCCTTGTGAAGTCTGAAACAATTCCATAAATGTGAACTTTGTGAAAAGTGAAGAGCATATTATAGAATCTTGCAGGATCAGGATGTGCATACTTCATCAGTGGTAAGAAATTTCATGAAATACACAAATATTATTTAGTAGGAATTCAACTGAGTGGTCTTGAAGATAGAATCACTCTTGTAATTATGTTGTGGTGATGCACAAGCGATGGGAAAAGAGAGATGGTACCTGGCTTAAGAAACGGCTCGGTGAGGTTTGTGGAGGCACCAAAGAAGTCTGAGGATGGAACTCAGATGGACGTGCTGGGGTTGCTGCTGTCCTCAGAGACTGACCCTGCTCCTGAGATGGAATTGGCCTTTCCAAACCATACCTTGGAGTTAGCCTTGTACCTGTCTGAAGGAAAATAGATCATTTCCTCATGGTAAATAGTTTTCAATTCATCACGAAGAATTTCATATGTACATACATACATACATATGTATGTGTGTGTGTGTATATCTGCTATTTTTAGAACAGGCTCTTTCCTTTGCCTGTTTTTTTTTTTTCCCCCTGAAATAGTTCCATATATTGAAGTCCCTTCCTCCTTCTCCTGCATCCACAGAAACCATAGTATAGCCTTCACTCTGAAAAATCCAAAGCTCAGATCATTTAAATTTCATTGCTTTGGTATAGATTAATGACTCTTTCTGTACTGAAAATGGTTTTATGTTAATGTAATTGAACACAATTTATTCGGTCTTGTTTTGGTAGATACCCTCCTTATAGATCATAAGAAAGGACACTTCACAAAAAGTTGGTGACCTTGAGAGGTGTTATTATTATTATTTTTTTTAGAGGTTTTCGCTATAGGGCGCGTGTGCTCGCCAGACAGAGAAAGACAGGGAGACAGAAAGCGAGAAATCACCCCCCCGGGGGATGGCCACACCACAATCCCTTCTCCTTCATTCTCCTCTCAGGATCTGGGGCACGCACGCACATATGCCCAGTGTGAGTTTAAGCCACCGGGTCCAAGACTCGAATCGTGGTCGACTACGTGGGAGTCCAGCGACATAGCCATTATGCTAACTGCTGGTCCCAGAGAGGTGTTATTAATAGGATGTTTCTCATCAAGCTAATTAAAAAATAAGTTTCTATATAAAAACTTTGATAAGATAAACTACACCTCCCCTATAAATAATGTACAATTATTATGTATCAATTGAAAAATATTAACTTTTGATTTAGGAAAGATCATGGGATGTTTAATATAAAATTTGAAGTATGTTCTGTGAATAAGGGAAAGTGTGAAAGGAAACTGGGATATAAATGATGAAAATACTCTTGTACTCATATTTCTTCACCTTGCTAGTTTTTCATATTTTCTCTGTATTCCTGGACCAAACAAAACAACAAACCACAGTGATCCTCTTGAGGAGAGGAATGATTTCAGGAGTATGGATGTCTGGTAAATAGCAAAGAACAGAGAATCTGGTAGGATTGCATTGTATATAATTGGCCAATGATGAGAAGTTTCATTATATTTAGGAATATTATTTAGCAGGAATTCAATTGATGGTCTTTAGGATCAAATCACTTTCTAATTGTGTTATTGTGATGTACAAGAAATACAAAGAGAAAAATGATACCTCACGTAAGGAATGGCTGGGTGGGGTTTGTAGAGATGCCTGGGAAGACTGAGGATAGAACTTGGATGGACGTTCTCTGATTGCTGCAGTTTGTGGAGGCTGACACTGTTCCTTTGATGGATTCATCCTTTTGAAGTCATAAATTGGAGTGGTTATACATTTAATTGTCTGAAAGAAAATAGAGCATTTCCTCCCACTTAATAGTTTTCAATTCATGTTGAAGAATAATATGTATTTCTTTTATCCTTCAAGCAGGCTCTCCCTCTGACGATGTTCTGTGAGATAGTGCCACACATTTAGATTTCCTGCACTGGCGGTGCAGCCTTCACCTTGCCGCAGCCTTCACCTTGCCACAGCCAAAGCTCGGATGATTAAAATTTCATTACTTAGGTACAGAATATTGACTGTATCTGTGATGAAAATTGAATTAAGCTAACTTAGTCAAGAACAATCTTGGTTGTAGTTTGGTAGACAGTTTTACCAGCTTGTAAGAAAGGAAGATTTACAGAAATTTGGTTGACTGATTAATGATATTAACCGAGCATCAAGCAAAAAAATGGGTTCTGTATAATTATATAAAATAACAAACTGTACTCTGTAAGTAATCTATAATTACTATCTGTCAACTAAAATAATGAAAACTTATCATTTGGAAAAGATATGGATGTTTAAAATAAACCTTGATGTGTCAACAGTGAACAAGGTGAAAGGATGAAAGGGAACTGGACTACTAATGAGGAACACACTCATGAATGGAATTAAAAAGTTTGGGGCCAACAGGTGGCGAAGTGGTTAAGGCATGAGACTCTCACATGGTTGACTGCAGTTGGGGCCCAGTTTAAAACTCACGCTGGGGGACCAGCAATTGGTGTAATGGTTATGTCACTGGATTCCCATGTAGTTGACCTCAGTTTGAATCCTGGACCTGGTGGCTTAAAACTCACGTGGGTACGTGTGCATGTGTCCAAAATCCCATGAGAGGAATGGAGGAGAAGGGATTGTGGCAAGCCATCCCCTATTTTCTGTCTCTCTGTCTGTCTGGTGAGCACATGTGCTCTATAGCAAAAATAATTCTCAGAAAAAAATAAACACACACACACACACACACACACACACACACACACACTATGAGTATGGGCATGCATTACCAAAATCCTGAGAAGAGATTGGAGAAGGGATTACAGCATGGCCATCCCCCTGGTGACGGGGATGGAGTTGATTTTCCACTTTCTGTCTCTCTGTCTCTCCAGTGAGTGCATGCACCCTATAGTAAAAATCTCTTTCTAGAGAAAAAAAAAAAAAAAAGAAAAGAAAAGAAAAGAAAAAAAGTACAAATTTATTTTGGTGCCAGGAAAAAAAAGTGAAATCCATGTATAGTTTTTCCATGGTACACATTTTCTTTGAAATTTTTTGTGTATATTTCAGGGTTAGAGGAAGAGTTCTGTAATTTATGGCTAGGATATATGAGAAATAGAACCCAGGAAATTGTATCTTGGTTGAGGCACTGCTGCATGGAGGTTTGGCGTGCCTGAGAAGTCTGAGAATGGCTCTCAGAGCTAGGTTGGACTCTAAGGTTTCTGAAGCTGACTCTGCCCCTGGGATAGCTTCATACTCTTGGAATTACTGTTTCCTTTTGTTGTTGTTTTGTTGTTTCCCTTTTGGTCTGAAGGTGTTCATTTTTCATTTAACAATTTCAATATTAGATAAAGCACAACTTTTTATTTCTGAAAATATCTTTTCTTATTACTTTCTAGTGCTCTCTACCTCTAAACATGACATGTTGCTAATGTATTCCTCCAGAATATTTTTTGCTACAATGTAAAATGTTCAAACATTCTTCTGTATAAAATCCTTTATTTATTTCCTTTAAAAAAAACTTTTCTTTTTCAAAGAAGACTCTATTTCTGTCTTTTTGACTGAGGACAGAAATCTAACTGCTTTTTCCTATTTCCAAAATCCTTTCAGTAAGGCCTGAGGTGACTCACACCCACAAACATTAACAGATCATTTGGCCCATTTGATAACAGGATGCATCCTATACCCTGTTCCTGGCATAGTATCTTTGTGATGGTTGAGTCATGCCCACAAATATTAAGAGACCATGTGGCTCATTGATTACAGGACCTTTCCTGTGATCAATCCTGTCCTTGGGACAGTATCTTGTAATGTATACAAGCCCCCTTATCTCTGTTGCAGTACACTGTTTGCTAATGCCTTGCAGAAACGCAGGCCTTCCTTTCCAGTCACCAATCTAAGAATTGTAAAATTCACCTGCAACCTGCAAGTTCCTGCTTCCAGATGTCTTGCCTTTTTGGGACAGATCAATGGAAAACTCTTTTCACTAAATGACAAACCTTGTCTCTCACTCTCAAAATCAAATAAAAGAAACCCCTATATCTGATCACCCTGAAAAAGGTATGTTTACTTGCCTCTTCTCCAGGCCTGATCACACACATTCATGCTTAGAAATAAACCTCTTTAATTATTATTTCTGTAGAGTTGGTTATTTCCATCAACAATAATGGCAACCACACAAAGGGACCAGAGAGAGGAACTGGAGATCTTCCAAGGAGTTGTTTTGAAACTGGTTTCTGGTACCAGCATAGTGGGTCCCTTGTGCCTCCTCTGGCTCTGAGCTTCTCTTCAGGGGTGATTTGGTAAGTTCTCTGGTCTCAGACCTCCCAAAATTTGGTAGATGTTCTGATTTATTTCTAACCTATTTTTTTGTTTGTATGCTTGTTTTTCTGTTTGTTTGTTTTTGGGTAACCCAAGTTTGCTCACCTCCAAGTGAGGGGCAGTGGAGTTAGGGAAACCTAACTTCTGAGGGTGTATTCTGTTTTTTATTTTTTCTCTACCTTCTAAATTTGCTTAGATTGGCTGCTGTGCATTTGCACAGGGAAACTGGACTGTCCTATCAATAGACAAATGAAAGACTGAGCTTCTCAGCTCCCAAGAGAAAGGGCACTTGCTCCTCCCTGTGAGTAGACACCTCAGCTGACTGAGTGGAGAGTATCTAAAAGGGAAGGCTTATTTTCTTCTCCTTAAAACAAGCAGTGGCACTACAGGAAATCCCAACCACAATAACTGAAAACAGGTCCATCTACTCAACAGGAAAAAGAGCTGAATGCTTCAGCATTTTAGGTTCCCTTCTTGAACATCAGGGTCTTTTTTTTTTTTTTTTTGAGAGATTTTCACTGTAGGGCGCGTGCGCTCGCCAGACAGACAGAGAGAGACATAGAGACAGAAAGCGAGAAATCACCCCCCAGGGGGGATGGTCACTCTGCAATCCCTTCTCCTCCATTCTCCTCTCGGGATCTTGGGCACGAACGCACACACGCCTGGCGTGAGTTTTAAGCCACCGGGTCCGGGACACGAACTGCAGTCGACTACGTGGGAGTCCAGCGACATAGCCATTACGATAACTGCTGGTTCCCCAACATCAGGTTCTTAAAGGGAACTGAGATGCGTAAGATGGGTGGTCTGGACACAAGAGTGATTTCTAGTAGGGAGACATTCACAAAGCAGCACATTGATTCACCACATTTAAAATCCTTAGCTTACGCAGGCAGGTTTGTCCAGAAAGGAAATAAAACATGAGAAATAAGACATCTATGATTTAAAGGAACGGAGAAAACGACCCCCTTCAGGCACCCCAGCTAGTTTTTATGAATGATAATTATTGCACCTTAATTTGCAAGTATTTGGAAAAATGGAAAAAACTTACAAAAGATGATCTTGGGTTAAAATTTCCAAAGAGAGGAATTTTTGATATTCCTAAATTAATCTTTTTCCATACTAAGTCAGAAAAATTAGGATCTCACATCAAGGAAGAAAAAAATGAGAATTTTTCTTTAACTGGCATTTAAAATCAACAAAAAGAGAAAATGATAAATTTACTTTCCTTCAAAAGTTAATAGAAAAATATTTGAGACTGTCTCAGAATTAAAAGAGTTAATTAACAAAAGCTGCTCTAAAACTAAAAGGGCGCCAGAACTGATTTCTCCCTCTGCTCCTCCCTTACTCTCTGACGACTCTATCTTTCCTCATACTCCTGTCCCCTCTCCTCTAACTCAATAAGAATTTGGGGATACTAAGGACGGAAATAAAATCCTGACTGCTATTTTAAGAAAAAACTCAATGGGTGAGGAGTGCCAAATGTAATCTATACACCATGTACAAAGACTGAGCTAAAGGTTTTAATATCGGGGGCTTCCTGACCCAACTCAGTACCCTACTAGGTTTATCAGTTAAACCAGCTTTTAAGTCCAGGAAACAAGACAGGAAAATGGTTTAAATCAACATACTGAAAAAACCCCTTCGATGATTTTGTTAAAATAAATGCAGAAGTGAGAAAGACAGAGCTTTCAGACTGCCTCTGAATTTCTCTGCCTCAAGATTTCCCAAGGTTATAGATTGGGCAAAAGGTAAACAATGTGATATGTCCAAATGAACCAATAACTGACTTTTTCATTAGATTTAAGAAAATATTGCAAACAATATTAAAAAAAATACTTGAAAGCTTTGAAAATTGTAGAAGTGATACCTTGCTAAACTCTGGTTTCATACAAGGTTTAGAAAAAAAAAAACAGAAACGAAACCAAACTAGTAACTCTGGTCATAAGAAACAATGTGGCTTGGGCATCCCTGTCCACCATCGACCTCATTACTTTAGCTGATAATTTATCCCAGACAAACCATAAGAAAGAAACGGAAATGGCTTCCAAAATTATGAATCTGCAACTAAAACAACTAAATAAACGCCTGAGAATATACAGAAAAAATTCCGTATGTACAATGTTTTTATGTATTGAAAGATATGGGTACACTTTTCTTCTGCCTTAACTCATGCTTTTCTTCCACTGGTTGAGAGCCTACCACGCTCCCCGGGCTCATGTATGTGATCTAGAGACTCAGCCTGCAAACCCCTCAGAAACCACTCCATCTATTCTTTCCTACCTATTTATTGAGAGTCTCTAAAGACAACTCCCTCTACAGTTTGTCCTCAGTTGAGTCTAGAAAAGGATAATTTTGAGAATTCTGTCCTATACAAACTCATAGCCCTTTTGTTTTCCCTTAATGAGCTTCAGCAGGGAAAAGATAATTCTGAGAATTCTGTCCTATACAAACTCAGTCCTTTTGTTTTCCCTTAATGAGCTTCAGCAGGTTAA